TTTTTCTATCTTTTGTATAGTTAAAGTTTGTATAGTTTAAGTTTTGTATAGTTAAAGAGCTAAAATATTTTTTAATAAATTGTAGACATAGATTATAAACATAGATATTAATACAAAATCACTTTCTAATAAATAAATATTCAAAATGTTGTTTACTTCCAAACACAATTGTTAAAGATGGTATTATTATATTATTCTATTATATAATACAATATTAACTTCTACGTAACAATTCGACAATTCAGCGTTCATCTTTGTTTTCTTTCTTGATTTGTGACTCTTTTATATAATCAACCGTTTTGTTTTTTTGTTTTAATGATACGACTACCGAATTTATTTATTGCTAAAATTTTATGTCTATCTTTTCCTTCTTGGCTTCTTTGAATTAACTTTTTCAAATTATTTATTTTTCACATTGACACATTAACTAATCACAGAGAATATAATCTTTAAAGCTCAATTTAAAAGTATTCATCCCTTGTTGGCACCAAAAATTTGAGATTATTTCTTTTACATTGTTATGCTATTATGTTTTTTATTTATTGTGAAACACTGACAATTGGAAACAAAGTCGAAATGTTCATTTTTAAAAATGTGTATCAATGTGTATTTTATTAAATTATATTTTATATGGATATTTGCGCCTCAATTGTGTTAGATTCTTGTAACTCTTTAACTTCTATTTTTTCTTTATTAATATAATACAAATGATAATAGATACAAATGCTTAAATGTTTTAAGTATTTCTGTGCAAATTAAATGTTTTAAGTATTTATGTGCAAATTAAATTATATGATCTTTTCAAGATTTAAAAAGAATACTACTTACTGGTTTAAGGAGAATATCTTACTGTCGAGCCTTTATTAAAGCTAACTGAACATTAATGTAATGCGGATTATTAAATTCAAATTATTGATATTTAATCATATATCTCACAGATCATCACCATAAATATATAGAATTTTTTATTAAAAAAAATTATTTCATTGAATACAGCAAGTCTCAAGAGACATGAGTGTCTCGTCGCCAATTTCACGCGTAGCAAAGATGGCGCGGAACGGCGGCAAGACCTCCATAACTTTTGTATATATGTGAGTCGTTGAGATGAACGGAGTCAACATTTTTATATCTCAATAACAACTGTATCACGATTAAATTTTAATTGAATACATTTGACCAATAAAATTTAAGTTATATAATGAAAGTATTTTCAGTTTTCTTACCGTACTGTACGAATGCAATGCAAAACCCAAATGTATAAATTTTTGTTTAAAAAATGTCAACGTTGTCATCATAAAAAAATTCAGCGTGATTTTTTTACTTTTGATAATATTTTTTTATTTTGATGTAACATTTTCTAATAGAAATTCTTGACACAAGTTTTTAAATGTTTTTTGAGAAGTAAAAATTAATATTGAAAGGCATGTTAAATTAATACTTGAATATATTGAAAAATGTTCGAAATATATCCGAAAAATATAAAAAAAGATCTGATATATTTATAAAAAATGTCTAAGATGTATTACAAAATATTATAATATCTTTATATACAATATTTTATTTTATTGCATCGAGATTTTATTATATCGATACATTTCCCAATGAGAAATGATAATGGAATCGATGTCGAATCGACATTAATTCGACATTAAAGAAATTATCATCTTGAGATATGTTTATAATTAAATTTGTGGAAAAATGGGAGTATTCATATCATTTGACAAGTAATGTAATCTTTTTTTAATAATTTCTTTTTAAGGCTTTAGCATAAAATAAATTTGACTTTTAATTAATTATATGTTCTCTACTATTATTCGTAACATGTCACTTACCTATTAATTTTCAATTTTTTGTTTGAAAAACATAACATAAAAATATAACATAAATTTGTTTACAAGTGGTGGATGTTTCAATTATAATTTTTTATATAATAACATTTCTTACAAAATAGCGCTTATTCTAAAATCGAACTGATAAAGATTAAAAATTATTATTGTTAAGGGGTAAGAAATTGCAGACGTAGAAGGCTTGCATAGCAAAAACATATCACTATGATCAGTGGCGGCGTCGGCAGTGATGTCGGCGGCGGCGGCGGCGGCAACGACGACGATTTCGTCCAAAACTCCTCTTCCAAGAATTATGTAGCTACAACGTAGACTTCTCTTTTTCGTTGCGCTTTTCTTATTTATTCATATTTTCTACGCGCGCGTCTGTTGCTTAAATGGTATACCAGCCTGTCCGTGAAAAGAATATCCGATGATAGTGTATAAAAGTGTACATTCATACACAATTTCCGTAATAAATCGATATACCATGTATTCTGTATGCAAAATAATCGTTACCTTTATCATACATTTTTTATCATAACAATTTTTATATTACAATTATAATTTTATTGCAATTTTCAATGTATGTAAAATTATCTAACAATTTCAAAAAAATTTCAAAATAGTATATGTTGTTTATTTGACATCGCATATTTAATACTAGATATGATTATTTAATTTCCTTTACTTTTTTTACTCATTTTATTTCATTATTTTTTATAATCATTGTTATTATTATCATTTATCATTGTTATTGTTATATATTATAATAATTCTTAAAAGATTAAAATCAATTCCTGAAATAATTATTTTTAACTCTTTCTTTTAATTGATTAAGAAATTACAACTAATGAACTAATATAATGTATACGTTGTATGTCTTATATTCTGTTACATGGCAATGTTGTTATTATATATATTTCTATGTTCTATCAATTTATATCGCAACTATGTGTACGTCTACTTCGTATTATGAGCAATTATCGTGTGACATGAAGAAAATTATTCATGTAATCATACATTTCCAATATTTAATTTCAAGCATAGAATACTTAAAAAAATATAAAATAAATTATTTTCACACAATCTGTAATTTTTTATCCGCAATGACATATATATATGAACAACTGTCGAAATACGCCATCTTCACGATGACAGCTGCTCACGAGCTACAGCAAAAAATATTTCAGAAATATTTCAGGAATGTTTCACTGAATTGAAACATATGAAAACATTGTGAAATATTTTTGCAACAGCTCTGAAACTGAAATTTGCAATAGTAAAATATTTGCGACTCTTGCACTTGGCACCTTACAGAAAGATAAATGAAAGGTTTACAGCTTTTCTGAAATATCGCTGAAAGATAAATAACTGAAATCTTTATGAAAGCACTATATAAGCGAATGCTATATATGTATTACACATATACATACATATGTACAGATTGCACCTCCAAAAATCTCACCGCATTCCTAGCAATCACGAATGCGCGTAATGTTGGACAGTCGTATTTCGCCACGCGCTTGCATTTGTCAGTGAACCGAGCAGAAATGTGCTTATTCAGTGATCTTTAGTCACTAATTTTTTGTTAACTTTTATTATTACAAATATCGCAAAATGAGGACTTGTCTGTTTAATTTACTCTGCTCTATTTATGAGTAATGATGTTAATTTACATCGAGTACTCTATATATTTAAATGATTGAAGATGATAGTTTAAGTGATAGCGACAGTTTGACATTTAACGCTATATTACTATTCGGCTTATAATTAATTCGATCAAAGTCTCT